GATCAAACTTGTTTAATCTGCCCTTGTCATGATCTGATGCTGAATTTGTCTCCTCACATTTGGGCAAAAAAAAACCCAAAGCAGTGGGACTGTTAAAGCAAGAATTTCAAATTTGATGAGCAGTTTGGGAGACCACAAGCTCCTCTGGGAATTCGTGAAGCAGCAAGCAGAGTGCTTGGGTTTTCATCTCAGCTCTGCCAGTGCCGTCTTGTGCAGGAGTAGGCACAAGGCATTGAACTTGCCTCTCTCTTCCCTTTGGCCCTATTTATAAACAGTAAAATGTTCAGGAAAGCGGAAACTCTACTTATGTTTTATACAGTGCTTCATTCAAGGGCTATTTCATCTGCTGGAGCTGCTAAGTCCCACTGTATTAAAACAAACAGAAACAGAGGGTTTGATCAAATGCATAGCAGATTTGCAGTAAAAATCTCTCCCCTCGTCCTGTCCTTGTTAGTCATGGTCATGAAGGGTGGGTCTCTGGTCTACAGGGTACATTTGCTACTAAAAAAGAAGGCTCTGCTATAAAAACCATAGACTTGTGACATGAGAAATGGCTACAGAAAAAGTAGGACCGATGGCTCTTACTTGTATTTGCTCGACAGTCTATTTTAGGATGAGTTTAGACTTGAGTCAGTAAAAGTGCAACCCTGTGTTCAGGCAGCAAGGGTGCGAACGTGCTGCTATTTTTCTCTTCTTTCTGAATATTAACAAAATACTTCACCTCTATAAGCCAGCTTGTCTAGGAAGTGTAATTAAGTAACCCGATGGAGGTTGGCGTGTTTGCCTTCCAAAGACCAACGTACAAAATCGGAATGTTGAAGCTCTTTGTGCTTTGAATAGCCTCTGTGATTCGTGGCTGGTTATCTCCTGTCTCGAAAAGATTTCCCATCCGGGGGAAGCGACTTTCCCAAAAGCTGCCGGCAGCTCTGGTTTGACTCCTGCTAGTCTCCTACACTTTTTCCTGTTCGTTTCTTTTTTTTCGTTTTAAGAAAACATTTTGAATTTTTCTGCAACCTTTGATATCAGGAGATAGGAGCATAAGCCCAGACTTACGTATCTAATTGTGCTCTTGGCCTTATCTTTGTCTGCAAGGCTGATGTTTACCTTTGAAAAGGAAATTATTCCTTTTGAACAATTATAGCCTCGAAGCTTTCATCATATCTTTCTAGTTTGTAGTGCTTTGCTTCTGCTTCACTGTTAGATGCTTAGTAAAGATTTAGGAAGATAGTGCCCTTAACAAAAGCAAAGTAATTATTAGTCTTTTTAGAAGAATGCTCTTTTTAACAATAATTGGAGTTGATCAAAACGTTCTTCATAAACTAATTATTTAAATTTGCCAAGGAAAAATCTAAGATTTTGCAGTTAGGCAGGAATAAGCAGCTGTAGAACCAGAGAGACGGGAGGCTGACTGGGCTGCAGTCCTTGAGGAGAGGATCTGGGGCTTGCTGAAGGGGAGAAAAGAGAAGGAGCATTTATCATCCTTGAACCTTTTCCGAGTGGGGAATGTCCGGGTGGTTAAAGAAGCAGTGCTTAAAGTCCCACTATGGTAATAAAATACTTCTAGCAGCATTTTCATGCAACTCAGAAGTTACCAAAAGTTAAGTCATCAAAAGTTTAGCTGTGGTGGGTGACTATGGGGTATCTTCAACTGAGAGAATGGCAAAACAAATGAAAACTTTGATATAATTGGAACAACTGAGATACTGCTTCCCATGGTGCTGGTGAGATTCCTTCCACCACTAACAATAACTTGCCTTGGCGTTTTTTTGTGTGTTTTCTAATTGTTGATGTAATGAGGTGCTGTTAATGAGCACGAAGCATCAGACTGCAGCTCACAGGATTAAGCTCCCACCTAGGTGCTTAGCTGAAGTTGGATCCTTACGTGACCCTTCTGCATTTCCTTCGTCATGGCACTAAACCTACTGCGCCGCTTGAACTTTATCTGAATAAGTGCTGCATACTGTATTTATATCAGACACATTTTTTGTTTGCAGTTTGGCTTTATGAAATGTCAGAATCAATCTTATACTAATGAAATGTCCAAATTTCATCTCAGCTATGAACCTAGCTGCTAATCCTATAAGATGTTTACTTTCTGCCTCTCTGGCTATGTATAGTAACAGAGAGTCTGCCAACTTAAGCACTACTGGCAAACGCCTCCCTACTGCTACTCAGGCTAATAAATGTTATTTCATTGAGTAAAGATTTAAAATTAATTAATAAAATGTCGCTAAAATCCCATACAGCCTTGGACGAGTTTGAGCTCAGTGCAGGCCGGTGAAAGTGGTTGCCTGAATGCAGCATAAGTGCCTCCAGATCCCACCCAGTTAAATATATTTCCTGCTTTTAATGTCGGTTTCTTAGCTCTGACCATACAGTGGTCTTGATGGTGGAAGTTGCCTCTTGGTGGGAGAGAGGGAGGCTGCAAAGGCTGCCGGAGCAGTAGGGCAGCTGTGAGCCCTTCTTGGGCGCTTGTCTGGAGCTCTGCTGATGCTCCAGGGACACAACACACAAACGGTCCCTGCCCGGTGGAGACCCTATGGATTGACCTTCCCTGCCCCTAGCAGGCCCTGGGCTTAGGGACCTGTGCTGCGAAGGGCCGGGCAGGGAGGCGATGCCAGGGAGTGGCGGGAAGGTGTCAGCCCTCCGTGTTCCTTCAGACCTGTTTTCTGCTCGGTATTTTTAACCTTCCCCTCCTGTTTAGTTCCTGCTCTGCCTCTTAATGCAATGTCCGTTATTGCAGAGTGCTTTTAGTTTGCTCTCTTTAAAAGCTCCCCGAGGCGCAATGATGCCTAGAAATTAATGTATTCCTTTCCCGCACATCGAGCAGACGTGTGTATATTGAGTTAGTGTCTCTTAACGTTTAGCTGATTTCTCTTCAGAGCATAGTTGAGTCACTGCAACATACCGAGCCCGTTTGTGGCCTTTCTCACTTAATGCTATTAGGATGTGTAGAGTTACATGTGCGAGCACTTTCTTGCTTTAACTGCTTGGATTTGCCCCCTTGTGTGACTTGCGGGTTTCCGCCTGCTGCCCTGTCAGATGCCACAGTGCTGCCCTGGCAGAGGACTCTTGGATTTGCCAGGGCTGAGCCTTAAATACAGCGTTGCTCTTAAAGACCTGACCAGGTGTCCTCACCAGCTTTGTCCACCCATCTTTATTTTACCTTGTTGGAGCAGGGGGCTTTTTCTGAAAGGTTGCTGCCCGGGGCTTTGGTTAACAAGGCCTTGCCGAGGAGTTAACATGTATTTCACCTAACTGTATAGCCAAGGTGGAGTAACCCTGGCTTCGTCTTTTCCAAAGGGAGAGAAATCCCTCTCCTAATGTTCCCACTACGAAAAGCCACAACTGGTACTTCTCATCTGTGGTTAGAGTTGCTCATTTTGCTTGTAAGTGATAATGCCTCATTTTCTATCGGAGAACAGAGATCCTCTCTCCAGATACGTGCAAAACGTCTTGAATCAGAACTCCTCTTGCTGGAAGTAGTCAGCAGGAGTAACTCCTTGGTGCTGAGGGTGGGAAGGGCATTGACTCCGTCCTGCTTCTCAAGCCTCCCCACGGAGAGCAGCCCCCATACCCATCCCGAGCTGCGGCACGTTTATCCAGGTGGTGCAAAGGGGGTTTCCTGGAAACCTCCCCAGCACCTTCACATACAGAGCACTGTTCCTGCCGTACTAAGGAGACTACGCTGTTCTGGTAAGTTTTTAAAAAATATATGTTTATTTTAAGCACATGAAACTTCAGGATAGGCAGAACTATAAACACCAGATATATTAAACACGGCAACGCGTTTGCGACCAGACAGTGCAGGAATTCAAAGGCAGAGTCTCATGTGAAAACCAGCTGCAAGTCGGTTCTTTTCGGTACCAGACATTTTGGACTTGGCTCATCTTGGTGCTAATTTGAAAATATCCTGTCATCCTACCCCTCCCAAGTCTCTATTTGAGAAGTTATTTGCATAAATAGCTAATATTTAAAGTGCGTTCAGAGACAGACAGAGAAGGTAAAGGTGAATATCCAGTGCACTAAAGAGGCCCAAGGCAAAATACACTCAAATCATCAACTGAAATGAGCTTTTCTTGAGTCAGACCCTAAGAAGACATTAAGCAATGGCACCATGTTGCAAATAGGCTTCCTAGGAGGCCGGTTTAGAGGAGGCACCATCTAGCAGGACTGTGGCCTGACAGCGTATAGAACTTTCAAGTTTTCCAGAGCAAGGTCACGGTCCTCTGTTGGTAACTGCTAGAACAGAGATCTGCTGAAGTTTGTAATGCTGCTGCTAACATGATCCTAAACAGTTAGTACTGTAACCAATGTTCTACTTATTGTGAAAGGTTGCATTAATTCCTGGGTCTTAATATCTGAACTTTCCAGTAGAAACTGTGAGCTATGTTGGAATTCCAGTTAGGTTTTGCTGATAAATAAAGTCATTTCCATATTTACCTGTCCTTTGAGCCTAAAGCTGTTTCCGTTAGCATCAGCAAAGAAGCATGTTCTGCTCAGAAGCCTTTTTAGTTTGCAAGCAGTTAAGGGAAATGCTTGGACAGCTAGAGAAGAGACCATCTTCGACTCAGCTTCCTGTAAACTCATTTCTGTCTCTCTGAAGCTTGCAAAAGGCTCACAATATTTCCAAATTACAGCACACTGGCATTTCTTTTCCCTTAATACATGTGGGATTTGAGAGGAATTAAGCAGCGTCAAAAATTCCACCTCGTTTTTACCCAAGGGGCTCCTCAACTGAGACATGATTTGAGTGCTAACGCCTGTCCCCCCTACAACCGGTACCTTCCTGAAAACAGGAACTGGAGGAGGACACTGAGCAACATTCCCAGTTGTGCCATGCTGATATCAGCGACAGAGTAGTTACAGTGTTTTTTCCCTTAGATTAATACAGGAATAATTCCTCTTCAGCCCAAGAGGAAAGCAAAAAAAAAAAAAAATCATTCTTTGAATTGCAACCTTAATTGTGCTTATGCACATGTGCTTAATTGTGCTTATGAATTGTGCTTATGAATAGCTGGGCCAAGACATTCCTGTAGAGCTCAAGAACTGAATTATTTGACCGTTCTCAGTCATCCTTTTTGTCCGAGGTACTGGAGTTGTCGTCTTCATTGCCTTCAGGGTGGACTTTATTTCTGGCCATTGGTGCTGTTTCTGAGCCTGGGCCTGGGAACAGGAGTGTCTTCGGCTTCTGGTGACTGAAAGTCATCCTCCTCTGACATACTTAGCTGGTATCTCTGTAGCTCTAGGTATGTAGTGAACAGCTTCGCATACTCTGGATGCTTGAGCGCAAAGTCCTTAAACTCATCTAAAAGCATAAAAGAAATACTGTAGATATTATTATGCAACAATAGAATCAAAGGGTCGGGGCTGCTTTTTAATGGAGCCAATCTCCAGGTACTTTCTTCTGAAGTATCTTGGGCAGATCAGACAAGTGTCTGGGTCTGCTTTGAGTTTTCCCCAGCCACAGGGTATGGGATGTTTACAGGGAGAAAAGAGCAGGAAACTGTGGTTGTCGAGAGCTATCAGAGTGTTGTGGGTTACAGTGGGACGTAACTTACCGTAGGAGAGCTTCCCAGTTTCATCTGCATCTATTTCTTTGAAGAGTTTAGAAACATCGAGCTCTGGCACCCCTAGAGCTGACTGAATGATGCAAGCAAACTCCTCTTCTGTTATGGTGCCATCATCGTCCATGTCAAAGAGCTGGAAGAGAGGTATGTGCAGCAACACGCTAGTATCAGTTTGCCTGTGAGCCTGTGCAAATTGGCCACCCCCATTAGGTTTCTGCTGTTTAAGAGGAGATTTGCAAACGACGTCTGGGATTTGAAGAGATTGGCATCATCTTAGCTGCCTTTTTTTTGGTAAAAGATGTTATAGATTTTCTCTGAAATTAAGTCTGACAGTTGTTTATGTGATATAATTAGCATCATGATATTGTGTACTATGAAAAGTATGCAGTAAAGCTTTTGGAAATCACATTCACTCCCTATGCAATGAAGCCCACAGGCTCATGCAGCTCAAGGTAGACTCAGGCTCTACCAAGTAGCAGAAACCCCCTAGCTGCATTTGCAGAGGAACATCAGCTTTCACCAGCTGCACCAGCCACTGCCCACTGGGGCTGGTGACCAACGGCCCATTTCAGAGTCAGTGCAGCTGCTGAGATGCTGAGGGGTGTAGTGCAGAAAGCAGCAGTGAGACAGCAGAGAGGGCTGCTGGGCTTGCTGCCTCCTAGGCTCTGCAGTGATAAACCATCCCCGGGAAACACAGCTCAGCTTTCCAGCTATTTGTCTGAATAGCTGTAGCGCTTATCTGCAAAGCAGGCGGGAGATACAGTGTATTCACATAAAAATACTGGTACTTCCTGAATGCGCACCAGGACTGAAAAGGATCTAAATAAAAATGAACATGATCCATATCTTATTATCCTGTTCAAGGAATGCATAGAAAGGTAGCAGGGGATAAACAGCTGAATCTGTGTCAAAGATCCACGAAAAAAAAACGAAACCAAGTAAAATCTGGGGGGATCTTCCTGCTCAGGGCTTCACCCCTGGCCAGCTTGTCCTAGGCTGCCCCTTGGCCCGGGATGGGGAAGGGGCAGCCGCTTCCTGCCCTCTGCGTTACCGGGACAGCCCCAGAGAGGGTCTCGGCGGCAGCCCCGTTCTGGATGCGCCTCTCCCGAGAAGCTGCCCTCGGCGCTCACCCCGCTTTGCTGATAACCGGGGTGACTGCGCGGGACACTGAGAGCAGGGGATGTTGCTCCCTCCTCTCTGCTCCCCCACTGCACCCCCACAGCCCAACAAAGCCCCAGAAAAAAAACTGCAAGTGCCGTGGAATCACCTTAGGGGCCAGCCTGCCAGGTTACGTGTTCGTTAGTGCCTTCACGTGGCGTGTGAAACCCTGCCAGGGCAGATGCCTGCGCTGCTCCCCTCCCCTGCACACTCGAAATGTCAGTTGGTTTAAGAGTATTACTCACACTTGCATAGCACATTGACGCTCTGAACTTACGATCTGAAAGCTAACAGATTTACAGTCAGCCTTCATCTGTCAGGTTTGTAGTTCTGTACTAAACTGAACTTACCTTAAATGCCATCTGAATAGTCTCCTCTGTGTTGGCGGGGTTACAAAGGATAGACAGACCGATCACGTACTCCCGGAAGTCGATGGTGCCATCTCCGTTCTGTAACCAAACACACAGGGCAGGGGTGAATTGCTAATACTGCACCTCACAGCTGGAAAAGCTGTTGCAGGAATCAGCTCTGCCGTGTGTACTAAGACAGACTGCAGCACTACAGGTTTTCTTGCAAGTAAAAGTGCTAACAGCTCTTTGAATGTGTTTAATTCTAGGGATGAAGTCGTACTATGTTTTTAACAACTTGATGTAGAAGCGAGCCTATGTGGGCTATCTTAAACCTCTCTTTGAAGCAAATGCACTGTCCTAAATGCTCTTAAAGTAAATAAGATACATTAGAAGCTAGAAATGCTACAAATGCAACTGTCTGCGTGGTTATTACAGTTTTGATCTGAATGATCATTTTGATGCATGAGCTACAAAGCAACCTCACCAAATCTCGTGAGGCTTTCTTGGAGATTCATGATTAATTTTCTATGTGCTGCCCTGTATTGGCACATAGGGGGAGAGCAGAGAGCAGTTAAAATGTCTGTTTGAGACAACGGTGTTCCTGTCACTGGAAGTTTCCTGAGGCTTTGGGGACATATCCAGCCCAGGGAAGAAGCACCATGCAAGTGTTTGGTGACGGGATGCAGAGCAGCTAATGAAAGCAGAGCCTGAGATGTCGAGTCGTTCCTGGGTTGGACTGTTCACAATAAGGGCATTCATGGAAAACATTTTCAAGGCAAACAAATGTGTGAGGATGGAGGGGAGGAGAATGTGCTGAACGTTCCAAAGGGGAAAGGATTTTTAAGCAGCTGGGCTCCCTGGGGCTGACAGCAGCCCAAACCACTTCTAGATTCTTGATTAACAAAATGCATAACAGTGTACTTGATACTTGATTTTCTTCATCGAACTATACATTGGGCAGGATTAGAAACCACTAAGGCTAAAGTTTATTTAGCCTTCAAATCCAGTTCAGTATGGTTTTCTTTGTACTAACGATCTCAGCAATCTTTTTTTAAAGCATGCAACCTTTAAGCACTTTAAAGACTTACAGATCTTAAGAAAACTTGTTAGTAAAAATATGAATAATCTATAAAGTACTTTGCTGGTCGGGATATGATTTCTGGCAGTTTTTTACCCACTCAAAGAAAAGGGCAATCTTCTCCCATAAACACTGTTCTGTTTACAAGTCTCTGCTCTCACTGTGTGGCAGGGCTTGCCTTAAATATTTTGGCTCCATCATAGTTCTCATAACAATAACAGAGCTAACTTTGAAATGTAGCATTATAAACTTTAACTGTTAAAACAGCTGAAATGAGTGAGCTGTTGTTGAAAGGTTCTCGGGATATTCTGTGTTAGGCAATTAGGTTCTTAGCAAAGGACAGTTTGGCAATTAGGTTCTTAGCGAAGGACTCTGCAATTCTGCTGGAATTTACTATTTTCACTGTTATGGTTTCATTGTATCCGTGAATACTAATGGCATTTGCAATGCAGTATCACTGTTTAAATTTATTTTGTAACTTGAAAATACAGAAGAGGAGAATGGGACCATAAACTTAAAAAAAAAAAAAAAAAAAGTCTCCTTCAGAAGCAACTTTTGAAGTCAGTTAACACAGCTTGCTGTACGTGGAGAAATGACAAAGGTTATCAAGGGCCATGCTATTCCATGAAAGTGTTAACGCCTAATAATTAAAACTCAGTGCACAGGCCTCCAGGCATTTGACTATGCAGTGAAGTTGCTCTACTGGCATGATCGTGTTGGGACTAGCCATGGTAAGCCGAGGATGGGGGCTGGCTTCCAAGGGCGCTGGCATGCTGTTTGAGGAGAAGCGACAGGGCTGTAGCCTGCAAAAACCATGGGAGCTAAACTGGAAAGGCAGGACAGCAGTCAGTGCCTGTGCAGCAGCCCTGCGGAAGGGCCCGCGCTGAGTCTGTCTGCACATCCCGGGCTGTGTTTGCAGTCTGTGTGCTCCGAGATATTTTAAGGAAGCAACATGTGAGCTGAGCTCCAACTCTCTACATAGCAAAGGAGAACATAAAGATGCATTTGTTTTTATGTTAAAGAAAATAACCAAAGCATAGTGTAACATCAACAGCCTTTGTTTCCTTAAACAAAACTAGTTTTCTGCTACTATACAGTAGGTTATGATAACTAGGGGTTTTGTTGTTGCTTTTATATGTAATACAGCAAATCTTACACTTTTGGGAAATTTTCTACTATCAGAGTCTCCATTAAGAGCCACACAGAAACTCAGGGCTAGCAGATCAGTCCTATGCATCTGGTAAAGCCTTAGGACACAGTGAAGTTTAAGTGCCAGTGCCCCCAGTTTTATTCTCCGTGCTGTGCGAATGGCAGAATGCGGGTGAGGAGCACTTGTTGGAGGAGCTGCTGCTGCCCAGCTGGTTTGGCCCCGAGCCCCGTGCAGGACGGCAGGGGAAGCTGCAGCTGGAGGTGCTGCTGCAGCTCCTCCAAAGCGCTGCCTGTTGCTGCATGTGCGTTGTAAGTGGTCAGGGAGGTACCTGGGAGGCTGGGGCTTACCTAGAGATGCTGCACTTCTCTTTGTGCTCCCTTTTCTACCACCCACGTGCGTAACTGTGCGGTTGTCGGCTGCATAACTGGGATGGGCGGCGAATGCATTTGGGAGGAATTCACTTCTTGCACTGCAGTTCGGGCCAATACACGTATTGTTTTCCTGTCGCTCAGCTTCTTATTAAACATAGTACAGGAGGGAGAACATCTGAGCAAAAGCTCTAAGTTGCATTTCCCTAAGTTTTAGGTAAAAGTCCTCTGCATGATTTGAGCAATGTGGAAAATACCATTCACTGAGTCCAATGGCAAGATGTAGAAATGAAAGCAGAGGAAGTTTAGAAAGCCACGGTGAGACCCAGAGCTCCAGGCTGCCGTGCAGGTACCGCCCGCCCGGGCGCTGCTGCCTCCCTGGGGAGGAGCAGGAGCGGGGCTGAACTGGGCGCACGCGGGCAGCTCCCTCCCTGCCCGCGATCCTGCAGCCAGCGCGCGCCCGGGGCCGCCGGCCTACGGCAGCACCGCCCGGCTCAGAGCTGCCTTGGGCATCGCAGCGGGAGAGCTGCTCATCAGCAACCCTGTGAGGTTTAATTGGAAAAAAAGCACCTTTGATACAACATGTTATTCCTTTTTTAGTTATTACTCAGCAAGAGGCTTCTTTAGCAAGCAGGACTGCACTAACTAGCTCAACCGGGACACTGAGCCCTGCTGAAATCCAACTCTGATGGCCTGAGGTTGATTTTGGCTGGCTGGCTGCTGTGTGACCGCACTATTTCAGCAAACTTCTCTAAATATAAATATATATTTATATTTTAGGTTGTTTTTGGTGTAACTATTATACAGCTTTAAGGAAGGAGAGGAAAGACTAGTTAATAGAGCTGTAAGAAGGGGGAAAAGCTTGTGAAGAGAGCCCTATGTAAGCAGCACAGCAGGTAGGATTGACAATTTCATTCATGTTTTACTTGAGCAAAAAAGCATGAAAAAGCAGAATGGGAAGGAAATGAAATACGACTATGCAAATTATTGCTCATTATAGTCACTGCAACTCAGATTTTTCCCCCTTGTTAGAAATAACCACACAATTTAGTAATCTGTTCAACTCTCATGCCTGGTGTTTGCTTTCCAGGCAAGCAGAGCTTTATTCCAGCTGACAAAACAGAGCAGTAACGTCACCGAACCCCAAACCTAGAGATTATTATAAAGAGTTTTACTGCATACGAGCCACTTGAATTAAAAACTAAGGTATGGTCCTTCAGCATATAATCTCTCTATAGCACCTAACACCCACCGTGGTGCTCCAAGCTAAGCCAGGTACCTCTAGCAACATCTGCCTTAGCGCAAGGGGAAGGCTGCAGCTGGGCACTGTGGGCCAGGCTCTTCCCTGGAAACCTCCCGGCCGGAGCGCGTCCTTCTCCGCGTTGCGCTCACGAATACATGGTCAGCTGCAGCCAGTCCTGGAGGGTCATGTCAACCTGCCCATGGCCGTCGTGGTCCAGGGCCTTGAAGGCGCGGAACATCCCGTCCAGCCGCACCAGGCAGCTGATGAAGCTGTTGAAGTCGAGGGCGCCGTGCTCGTCCGCCCCACGGCGCCCGCCCGCTCCGTGTCGAACTGTTTGAACACGCACTGCCATTTCTTGATGTTCTTCCACAGATACTTGAACTCTTCGAAGCCCAGTTTGCCCGTCGTGTCGCTGTCCATGATGGCCACCATGCTGCGGCACGTGTCCAAGCTGAAGCCGTCGGTCTTCAGGTCTTGGTGTCTGGACAGCACTTTGTTCAGGATGTGCATGAGCTCCGAGGCGCTCACTTCCATGTCGCTTCCAGCCAGCTGGGCAAAAAGACAGCGAAACTGCTTCACCTCCTCGCTCTCATACGCTTCCACATTGGTAAAATGGCCGCGGGGAGGCGGCGGCTCTGGCGTGTACTGAGCTGCTGCTTCGCTCAGGAGGTTGACGAGACCTCCAAGGAGTCCTCCCACGTTGCCTCCTTGGCCGCCTCCGCTCAGGAGCCCCCCGAGGCCACGCACGAGGTCCCCTCCACGGCCACCACCACTGCCGCCGCTCAGCAGAGCTTTAGCCAGGAACATGGCTGCGATTTGCTCCAGGGAGCTCCGCGGATCCGAGTCTCCTGCCGCTCTGGGTGTGAGCTGGGTGTGGGCACAAGGCAGCTCCTGCGCGTGCCGCCAGCTCCCGTGTCTGTGCACGCCCCTCCGTGGGGCTCTCCCATCTCAGCACTTCCCACCAATGGTTGAGGATATCAAGGAGCTTCTCTCTGCACCTTTGTTACTGCCTTTTTTCTCTGCTTTGTGATTTGGTTAATCTTTTTAGCAAAAAAAAAAAGAAAAAAGACAAAAAAAACCCCCGGCAATACTCAAAACTGCAGAGCAGAAATCTCAAAATGTATAAAAGACAAAAAAAAAAAAACCCGGCAATACTCAAAACTGCAGAGCAGAAATCTCAAAATGTATCTGCTCATAACCGAAGAGGTTTCAGCCCCAGTAGTGTGGCTGTTCCTCACTGAAGCTGCTCTCCTCAAGGCTAAGTTCAGAGCTGGAGTGGGATCTGTCCTTGCAGGCGGCAGCTCCTGCGCGTGCCGCCAGCTCCCGTGTCTGTGCACGCCCCTCCGTGGGGCTCTCCCATCTCAGCACTTCCCACCAATGGTTGAGGATATCAAGGAGCTTCTCTCTGCACCTTTGTTACTGCCTTTTTTCTCTGCTTTGTGATTTGGTTAATCTTTTTAGCAAAAAAAAAAAGAAAAAAGACAAAAAAAACCCCCGGCAATACTCAAAACTGCAGAGCAGAAATCTCAAAATGTATCTGCTCATAACCGAAGAGGTTTCAGCCCCAGTAGTGTGGCTGTTCCTCACTGAAGCTGCTCTCCTCAAGGGTAAGTTCAGAGCTGGAGTGGGATCTGTCCTTGCAGGCTTTTATGCCTTCAGCTTTTTAGTGATTTAGTATCACACTGCAAATTCCAGCCACCAGAGCGTTCGTGCCAGAGAGAGGAAGTACAAGGTGGTGGTTTTGGTTGCGGCACCGTATTTCTGTTGTATCCATACTGGGACTACATGTCGTAGGAGCCCGTGGTCCAGCATGGAGAGACAAGGAGTGAAGACAAGTACCTTGACCATGCAGCTTTGCTGCATTTCGCAGATATGGAAATACAGTTGATCCATTTCTGTTTTAGAACTTACAAATGCTCTACACCTGGAAAAATCCTGGAGCAGTTTTAACCAGCAGGTACACCACAGTGCCCCCCGATGGGGGGACATCCTGTGAAAATAAACTTGATCAGGAAGAAAGCTGCTGAGCTGAGGGAGCTCCTTAGATAAGAAACACCCTCCAGTTCTTAAACAGTCGCAGAGCCACATGCTGCTTGCACGTTAGCCCAGGCTGGATGCCTAGCAGGTGAACTCCTTGTGGGCTGTGTTCTTTGAGGCTTTTTGTGTATCAGAGGGGTCCATCACAGGACAGTTGATGCCATCTTCAGAGAGAGGACCAAAAGGGGAGAGTCCTTGCTGACTATGGAGGAAAGCCTGAGTGATGAGACTAGGGTAGGCACAGGCCTTTCTAATGTCTGGAGACAGCAAGATGGGTGCTTGTAGCATTTAATAGCACCTTGTAGCATCTAATAGCACCCTTGGAAGCCCAGCAGGAACGTGTTCTCTAGTTAGTACAATCTGCCTGAAATTGTGCACGTGCAGCAGCAACAGTTAATCATTAAATTGTCAGAGTGTAAATGAGCTTGAAATTCGGGCAGGCAAAAGAAAACATTCCAGAACCAGCAGCACAGAGATTATCATCTGATAGTTGTGCAGTAACTTGTTCTGAGGGGTGGCTGCAACTCTCAGACAGCAAGCTTGACAGGCCTTTTCCCATCAAAACATTAAAAAAGGTACCTATACAAGCCACGTATCTTGCCTGCTGGAGTTACTATCCAGGAAGCATTTACTAAGCTGGACATGATGACTCAAATTATCCTTTTGGGATGTATTTCTTAACAAAACATTGCCAACAGTCCGTTAACAGGCTAAATACTCACCCTGTCGAAGAGCAGAAACAGCTCTTTGAGGACATCAGAAACGGGCAGCTTCAAGTACTCTGCAAACTCCTCAATTCCAATTCTTCCCCCTTTGGAGGCACTTGCAATGGCAGCAAAGGTATCCAGCTGCTCCCTGACATGATTCCATTTTAGGCTATGAAACACGAAGGAGAGGAGATATTTCTATATGCCAGATCTTGGACAGATGGAATTTCAGTAGGAGTTATTACAGTGTTCAAAGACAAAAAATAGCCAAAAGGGAGCAGTTGTGTTAGAAACATGGTATTTCTGGGCTGTTATTTTGTAAGAAATAGCAATTAAGTACTGCCCTCCCCTGGTTATTAATACTAAAAGCAGGCAGTTCTGTGCTTTGGTAAATCAGTTACTTCCAACATGTAGAATCATTTTTCCAGTAACAAGGTAATGCTAATGCAGTAATTAAAATACCAACGGCTGAACTTTCCTTACTTGAGTTTCTTGCTGATTTTGGTGAACTCCACCAGACCAGCCTCCATAGGCAACGTCAGTTGGCCTGCCGAGATCATCAGCCTGCAGTCTTCAAAAGTGTGATCTGTCACTGGCACATTCAAAGCACTGAAACAAAGTCAGAGGAAAAGAAAATCAGCTTCTTATATTAAAATAACTTTTAGTTGACCTCTCTTCTCACCTCTTCAGTTTGGCCTTAACACTAACATACAGAACCAGTGATAATTCATTTCTGCACTGCTACGGGTAGGACTGGGCACTGCGCACTGTTCGCTGGAACTGTGCTGTACTGCAGTAGCATCCAGATGGCTTCAGATTTACAGTCTTGTAAATGTAGCCCAATAACCCCAGAGAACGAACCTCATGCGTATGCTTCTCAGGCAAACAAGGGAGGTTAGGGTTTAGGGCTAGGGTAAGGGTTTTAGGGTTAGGGTTTAGGATTTAGGGTTAGGGTTAAGGTTAGGGGTTTGGGGTTAGGGTGCCGTTAGGGGTTAGGGTTTAGGGTTAGGGTTTAGGGTTTGGGTTAGGGTTTGGTTTAGAGTTATGGTTAAGGGTTAGGGTTAGGATATGGTTAGGGATAGAGTTAGGGTTTAGGGTTAGGGTTCGGGGTTAGGGTTCCAGCTTTTCCAAAATTTATCTTTCAACTTAAGAAAACCTTCTTTGTAAGCTATATAAGGACAATCAGGGTGGTTTGCTATGGGAAGTTGGCATTAGCAAAGTTCCTACATATAATAACCTAAAACTTGATTGGGTTGTGGTACAGTCTGCAGTGCTTTACGAGCAGGCTATATTGGAAATATATTTCTAATATTAGAAATGGTGGATGCAGAAAAGACAAGTTCCTGGGACTTGTCCCAACCCAGTACGTACGTGGCCATGGTTTCTCGGACTCTGTTGGCAAAAAGAATGGGATCGTTTTTTTCTTCTTCGGTGGGAACGTGGACAGGCAGAAACTGAAAGAGATGAGGAGCGCGGTCAGCTCAGGAGTCACCCCCTTGTTAACATCACAGGCAGGTTTTGGTTGCTGGTTGAAAGGAAGGGAATAAATCAGCCATGCGATGGTGGAACTGGACACTAGAGGTCTCAACCGCCTTAGAAACCATCCAGTCACTTCCACAGCAGCCACATGGATACGTTTGAGTCCATTCCTGTCTGCAAGAGCGGTAAGAGCTGCTTTAACATGAAAAATCAACCCCTATAAAAGAAAACTGTAGTAAATGCAAAGTTAGTTAGAAAATGAAATACTACTTTTATAAGAATGTGAGTCTGAAATACTGCATATGCCTTTTAAAAGATCCTTTATAAGGTGGGTTATATCCTGGAAAACTGTGTGCAAGATTTTAAAATATGTGCTGCAGTCAAACTTGGTACCTGTTAATTTAGTGAGTGACACATAAGTGTGTCCTAGAACTTTTATTCCTCCGTGAGGACAATGATAAGAAATCTGAACTGTGAATTATAAGTAGAGCATAAATGTGTACAAATACTGTGCAAGTCAGTATCTTATATAAAACAAACCAAAAAAACCCACAAAACAACCTCCCTCAAAAAACCCTAAACAAACCAGATAGATAAGTGTAAAGAGATATTTATCACTTCGTTGCACAACCAAGATCATACTGTTCACTGTTAGGAGCAGCAACACTGCTTTCCAACATTGCTGAATTCTGTGTTTTGCAAATGAACAGCAAAGAAACATCAAACTCTTCCCATTACTCAGGGCCCTAAATGAACTTAGTCCACACTGGCAGTCCTTTGTGGTCTGTAGAGAAAGGTGACACAGGGGACCCAGAGCTGCCTCCTCACTTGGACAGGGAGCAAGCAGTTGGTACCCGTTTCTGCAGCGTGTGGGTTCTTGTTGTCTTTTGTGCTGTGTGGCTGCGTTTAATGAGCAAGGGAGCAGGTTCATTAAAGAAGGCCCAGCTTCCTTCCCTGCAGGAGAACTGAAGTCTTTATGTAAGCTCTTGGCTGCAGAAACCTTCAGAGTCGAGTCTGGTAGGATGGCTGGGTAAGAAGGATGGTTGGAAGGGAGCAGGGAAATGAGCTCTCTTGTGGGGAAAAGGAGAAAAAATGTTACCTTTTTACATAATATATTAAAATAATTCTTAGTTGAAGCATTTGTAAAATGCATATAGAGTAAGGGTGTTAAAGGCACTTTTGACAGCTTTCATTCAGCAGCTCATCAGGTTAAGAGATACACAAATAAGGACAAACCTATTACCTTCATTCTGTTCTGGTTGCTGAGACATTTGTTTATTATCAGTGACTAAAAACATGAATAATACAGTCTGTTAAAGTATAACCAAGTTCCCCAGTTAGTGCATCTCGGTATAAAAATATTTCTAACTCTTACCTCAACTTCTACTCTTGTGAAGGGCTGGCACAGCGTCATGACGCACAGTTCTTTGCTGCAGGCAGAAAGAGGAAGAAAAACATGTTTCAATTATTTTAAGCAAAAGTTTTGCACATCAGTATATTAAACTTCTTAAAGCATCAACCACAGCAGAGTTGACACTGGGCAAGGCTTTTAAATACCTTGCAGGGAAGTTGGGAAGCTTCCTGAAGTGTTTTTCTATTGGGCTCTTGCATATGCTAAGTTTACAAATGGACAGGCAGCTTGTTGCCTTTGCACTTGTTGTGCACGTTAATGGTACCTTATAAAGTCTTTGGCTAGCAAAATATATATGCTGTTGTATTTTTTAAGAGGTGAAGAGCCACTGGATTTGAAAGTTTTAACAGCAAATAGCTCTGTATATGCATCTTTTATTCTCTCATCTGCAAAACGGGAGCAGTAACGTCCTTCTGAGTAGTGAGGCAGGGATTTGTTCATAGGTGCTGGCCATTCTGCATAGTCTGGTGGTGCTTAGACAAACTTGGTAAGCAGCAGTATGTCTGGGACCTTCTGTGCTTCACACAGAAATAGTCACTGAATTTACCATTAACAAGAGAGGAAGAAGCTGGGAAAAAGGATAGGCATAATTGCTTTCACTTCTGGCTGGCTGGTTCATTTCACTACTTCTTTTAAGCAGAAATTCACATTTGTTCTTCATTTAAGTGTTGTAAATTACTGTTATCAAGCTAGCTTTCTTATTTTGGATTGAAAAGAAAAGAAACGCGAAATGTACTGGAAGAGTCGAGCGATACTTTTTGGTGTATGTAGGAAGTGCTTGATTTTGTAACACGTAGTTTTAGGCATGCCTAGCCACAAAGGCAGGAAAGGAGCAATGTGTGAAAGCAGCATCTGGGTCAGGAGGCTTCTGAGAAGGAGACAATATCAGATCCTGGCAGCAACACGCAGAGTGCGACCACCCGGCACGTGGCCACCAGCTCCTCTGTGCAAGGCCCTTCCCCTTCACAGTTACTGATATTTTTGTTAAGAATCTCGAGCTTCTGCACCAGCCACCCTGAGTCAGGAGTCTTCCAACCTCTTCTTTCTGACCTGCTCACAGGCTTCATTTCGAGCCCTCATTTTCCAAGCACTGTCCTCTGAGCAGGGAATAGGAACCTCCTATAGGAACCACAGGAATACCGATAACTTCACCTTCCCTCACTGCTTTCTGTACTGTCTCTCGTATCTGAAGTAAACGTGTCTTGGCTTAGCTGAAGCCATTGGCAAATTGTTTAGCAATAGAGGGAAAAAAAAGATCCATATGTAATTTTATTAGGATTAAGAAACTCACAATGAATAGCTTGAAGCCATTTGGCAAATTGTTTAGCAATAGAGGGGAAAAAAAAAAGATCCGTATGTAATTTTAGTAGGATTAAGAAACTCACAATGAATAGCCCTGCCACGTCCAGGTCACTGTGTCCTAGGGAAAAAACAAAATACAGAAATGTATGACAAAATCAGATGAGTACTAGAGAGCCACTAAGTTACAGGGTAAAGCGTGCACAAGTTTAATAAAAACAGATGATGGTTTTATAGCCCCGTAGTGAAAATACAGGTGTTAATATGACTAGGATTCCTCGTCCTAAAAAAATGGAAATAAGCATGACAGACTCTGGAAATACCAATAATTGGGAATTAAATTTATGTAGTTATGTAGAGCTATTTTAAATTATTTGTTCTGATCTAGACAGCAGAAGTGTGTGTGGGAGAAACAGCTAGTGAGACTTCTTGAGAAGGCCCCTCTGGTCCCTTTACAGAGGCACCCTCATAAATGAGCTGGATTTAGTTTTCAAGGCAGAACGGCTCGGGTCATCTATCATGCCTTTCCTTTGCCTTTTCTCCTTTGCCTTTTTCTTCTTCTGCTTATTACTCACTATAGATCACTGTTACAGGGCTGGTTCCCACCAGTCGCGCACGTCACTGATGGGCAAGTCACCTGTGTGAGGATTCAGGAGGGAATCTGTGCTCCTTGTAACACCTCTTGGCTGCCTAACTCGGCTCCGCTTTCGTTCTGAGGCTGCTGGTGAGCCCCTTCCCTGCGCTCACACAGGAAGAGAGGCTAGTGGGGAAGCTGCTGTGTGAATGTCCGCGCGAGGAAGAGGCTCTGCGGCTTTGCAGGAAGTTTCTCACTTCCGCCGTGAGGCTTCTGCCCTGGCATGCGGGGAGCTGCTGCTGCTGATGTAGCAGCCAGGGCTGGGGCTCAGGGCCAGAGATTCCTCCCTGACGAAGCAGGATCCTGCCTCAGACACGCGTTAAGCCAGGGTTCTGCCTCATGGATAAGCAGCTAGGGACAGAAGAGCACTCTACGTACCAGCTTGTTGGGGTATCGGAGCAGCACGGGTTGCACGGGAACGCGTGGAATGAAGGCACCTATAACCACAGATGAGCAGATCAGACTGTTGCAAACGTTTCCTGAGCCCTTCTCTGCTCTGATCACCCTGATAAGCGACTGTAGCTTTGCTGCGCAGGGACAGTGCTTTGGCTGAGGGCAGCTCTGCAGCCTAATGGTCGCTGCTGCCTCCCGGACCTTTCTGCGTTAAAACCGGCCTGTCGGGCTGTGCTGCTGCTGAACACGACACCAAAGAGATGCATAATCTGGTCACTAAGTCTTGCTTAGCGGGGTGTACAGGAAGGCAAGATGACGTGACCGTAAATTGAGCTCAAAACAAATGGAAAGAGGCAGCACTTTGGTAGCTTAGCCCCTAAGTACTAGTTGAGTACTAAGTAGTAGTTAAGTTCAGTTGAGTAACCGAAATTACGGGACATTTATTAGAGGACAACTGTACCCAGAAAGAAAGCCAACTAACTAGCTAGTATACATCACATGCACTTCACCTCCTACAAAATACCCCAAATGGGAAAAGTAAACTGAACAGTATAAAACAATGACACTGAAATTTTGGTGATGGAAGCCATCATGTCAGCGCTGTTGTATTTTACGCATTATTTTCCAACAAAGAAGCAACAAAATCTCTCACCTTGTTTGAAGGTGATCAGGCAAGATCGGTTTGTGCAGGTGCCTTCTGGGAAAATGAGGATCTTGGATTTCAAGAGAAACAAAACAAACACGTTCATGTCACCCAGGGGTTATACGTGAGTTACAAGGGTTACACAAAGCCTGGCTTCGTGCGCAAGCTCTGCCGCACGCTACCCTGCATCACTAGCACGGGACCCCTGCGCCGAGGGGAACGGGACGCAGGTGGAGGATGCCCCCAGGATCATCCAGTTTGCTTTGCAAGAGAGGAAGTTGGGGCAAGGCCTTCACCAATACAGTCTCCCCTGCCAGCAGCATCCTCCTGAGCTGCCGGGTGCCTGTGTGCCCAGGGGCATCGCACACCTCTGTGTAGCATCGAGCCCTAAGATACCAACCGGGCAACAAGCCGCAGGGCTTCCCGTTTGTGCTGGTGAAGGGTTGGGAGAGCAACAGCCAGGTCCTCACACATTGCCCAGCCTGCTGTGTTGTGGCTCTAGCAAGAAGGAATTGGGAATCCGTTGCCCTTTCTTTCCCTTGTACCAAAGGGCAGCCCCAGGTCCTGTGCAGGGCATGTGACAGGCAGCATCTTCTGCTCAAGGTTTTCAAGAAAAGAGAGGAGGAGGAAGATGTGGCCAGAGCATAGGACTGGGAATCAATCAATGGCAGCCCCGGTTCTCCTGCTGACTCAATCTGTGAGTCAAATCATCTGGGAAGCCACAAACCTTCGGGTCTATTTGTGCCATGATATAGATCCAGTTTTTATAGCAAGCACAGAATTGGGGCAAAGTCACTTCCCCTTCCCTCCCCATGCTATTCACAGCAGAGAATTAAGTTTACCAGAGCTCTGTTGGAACCACTTCATCCGTAACTGCTTAGCTAATCAAAAGCATCAGCACAGTTTCTAAGCACAGTACTATAAAAAAGCCTTCCTTGCTTTGACGTGTGCTGATTCAAAATCCTCCATACCGTGGAAAATTGGGGCGGGGGGAAAATCGGGGCACTAGAAATGTTTAAGGCAGCTTAGAAAAAGGCATTTACAAATCAAATTCAAGTAGCACAAATATTAATTACAGAGCTTCTTGTAAGGTTTTTCCCTAGCCTGCTTTAATCTTCCTCAACTGAAGATTGAAGAACTGTTTTCTGGAACAAAAGTGAGGCAAAAGTTACCAGCATTAACTTCTCTCAATCATTTAGAAAGTAGCCAACTATGACTAAAGAGACCTCATAATTTTCGCAACTTAAACCAGTCATTTGAACTTTTTGTTTTTATTTTAAGAAAATCATACCACTTAAAGAAATCAAGAACTAATGGAAAACATAAAGCACGAGGCTCTATATAAGTCCACACAGGGTGTCATTGGAGATAAAGCAAATTGAGGATCACCTTTAACTATCACCCACAGAACAAGTCAGTGTTTGCAGCTTAAGCAGTGGTCACAGGCAGCTCAGACTGCCCGAGTTACACACTGTAGTGAGCACAGCTCCGCAATGGAGCTTCTCACACATGAACCAGCTCGAGAAATGTGATTCATATATATAAAAATACGAGTCATAGACGGCATCTTAAAACTTAGGGAAAAGAGAAAGTTGTGAGCACCTGAGTTTTAGAACAGTAATTGGTACTGGCTAGATCTTACCTGATTTACTGTCAACAAAAGTCTTTCTGGGCACTAGTCTCTTTTCTTGCCTTTCTAAAATTGCTGTCTGCCTAACAGTCGACCTCATTTCCATCCATCAACAGAATCCCTTTCATGTGGGCACCGGCATTCCCGGTGTACACACAGAATGAATGCAGAGAAGAACAGCAGGCTCGTTGTTACCTGTGGCCACTGGCCCCCTGACATGGCCCGGCTCGTTATCTCTGTGACCGTGTTCTTCCGTGAGTCGGGGTCTTGGCGTGACACGGAGACAGGCTGAAGGGAACTCAGGATTGCTGTGAAAGAAATCCAGATTTTACTCCATGTCAGACTCACGTGGGTTCAGGTGTTCTCCACCTCGTGTATGAAGTGCACAGAACACAACTCAGTTGAAAGTCCATGCCTGAACATGCGGACATATTGCAGAGGTGACAAGAAATTGGGGAAGAACCATCTCCCATGTCCCAGTCTTGTGTTTTTAAGAGCAGATCATCACAGTACCACTTAGTTAACTTCCCATGAGGTCAATTTTCTGTGTAGCTTATTTGGTTTAGTTCTGAGTGGTAGCTTTTTAAGAGTCCTTTAGACAGAAAAGATACACAGCCAGCCCAAGTGTACAGCTGATTCAAATAATAATACAAATGGGATTTTTTTTGGTACCAAAAGGAGGAGGAAATACTAGAAACATGACTCATCTCGTCTTTCGCATTCTCTGCATTCTCTTTTATTCCTTCCGTTTTACTCCCATTAAAGCAATCTGTAACAGTCTGCCTGCAAGTTTCAGCTTAGGAATTGCTGTAGTTAAGTCTGTTTAGAAACGACCTTCAGCAGTCTGTGTTTTTCATTTGCAGACCAGACTGTTAATAGACAGCAGTCAAACAGATTTTTCAAGCGGCCCAGAGGAAAAACTTGCAGAGAACATTTCTAGTGTGAGCAGTTATGAAACAGGCTTTCAATCTGAAGCAAATTTTGAAGTGATCCGCTATCCCGTTTGTGCAAGGACACAACACACTTTCAGATGCTCTGACCAACACAGAAAGATTTCCCTGGAAAGTATTTGCTTTGAGAAATCTCAGCAGCAACTATCTGTAGCTTTAGACCCTAAGGGCTTGGGACAGTCTGCTCCTATATCACTTGCAGAGTTAAGGTTTTGGGCTCACATCAGCTTACTGACTTTGAATATTTTGTCTTTTGGTAAATACTTACTGCCAAATAGTGGAGCTGACAGGTTTTCCGCCCTGGATACCATCGATGGCATCCCTGTTAGGGCAGAAACGATGGCATCGAAAAAGCTGGAATGAGGAGCTGCGACGAAGATGGGGGCTTCCAGCGGACTGGCTATTTTCCCTTTCACCTTCACTCGGAAACCCATCACGAAGAATATGGTGCGAGTTAGGCATGAAAGGGCTCTCTGGATCATCCTCCTGTGAAACAGACACACAATAGTATCACCCGTCTTATAGGTAGGATTTCCTTCATACTTTAAAAGACACCTATAAAAGCAACCTTTGTCGGTGTGCCAGGCAGGAGGAGGGACCATCAGCTATTTGTGCTGGAAGCAGATTACAATTTTAAATATAATGCAACACACAGCAACTTCCCAAAACACCCTTCCAAGTGTGTTTAAATTTCAGGGCCTAATCTGGGAGCAGGCGGGGGAGGAGGTTGCTTTTTTTTTTTTTTTTTGCTTTTGTTTATTAAAAAGTCAAGTATAGAGTTTTCCACAAGCATCAGTTAGCTCTTACCTTCTCCATCCTTTAAGGGGTACAGATCCTTTTCTAGGGTGACGAAAAGTTGCAATGGATGCAAATACCCAAGCTAGCAATAATATGAACAAAATGCATGTGGCACGGAGTGGTAGCAAAATAATCCCTAGAAGGACGGTCTGGAAAGAAAAGAAGAGAAAAAGAAAGAAATGGTTATTGACAAGGCTCTACTGATTGATTAATGATTGCAGTGCTCAGATGCCCATGTATCAGCTACGTGGAAGGAGAAGGAGCTCTGCGTGGCCACTGGGGTTTTGGGCTCAGGGAGCATCGAACCACCGGGAGAGACCTGCAGTGCCAGGAGTGCCGTGGGCACCAGGCACGGAGCTGGCACGGAGCAGCCGCGCGCTCAGCCTGCAGCCTCCTCCGTCCTCCAGGAACGAGTGCCTGGAACCGCAAACGTGCCCTTGCTGTGAGGGAGCCCCAAGAGGGGTTTGGCTCCCCGCAGGCAGGTGCGCTGGCACGGCGCTAGCAGCCAGCCGCCGAGCGGGAGGGCAGGGAAATGCCTAATTGCTTCACCCGAGCAAATGAGCTCAGAAACATGGCCCCAAGGTTGGCCTCTGTGGTGCAACAGAGCTCGACGCAGCCCGAGCGAGCCCGGCGCGGGAGGCAGCCGAGCACCGTGAGCAGCACGAGCAGAGCACAGCCCCACGGAAGCCCCTCAGCGGTGAAACGTCTCTGGGCTCGGTTCCTGCACGCACGCAGGGGAATTCACACAGTGAAGTGATCTCAAAAGCCCGCGTGATGCTGCGTGTCTTCTGGGGAGGTATCTGCCAGCTACCACACAGCAACAATTCAATTCATTACTTTTATCTAAAGTTTTACACCATGTCTAATCAAATAAATAGTTGTAAGTATAAGCCGCAAGTTCCCCATTTGGAAGTTGAACCTGAATGATGTGAAGCTCAGTGCTTCATTCAGTAGCACAGACGTTGCCCATTCTGCTAAGTCAGTGTGTTTTGGTTTAAACTACATTTTTTTTCTTTATGAAAAAAGGGAGGGAATATGCACTGACCTACAATGAAAATAAAAGGTGCAATAGCAAAACCAAAACAACTCCTCCCTCAAAACTTTGATAAATCCATTAATTTATTTTGGGCAGATGTACAGGTGGTACTGATGTGCTTGATGCAGGCGATGGGCTTTCTGGGTCACTGTGTAATGAGGCAGAGCTGGTTTCTGCTCCATCAGCTGCAGAGTAGGGCAAGGAAAGGACAGAGGAGAGAGAGGTCAAGGTAGGTCTGGAAAGAAAAAGTGCAGGAGAAAAATAGACATTAAAAAATACAAGCTTAAAGTTTAGTAGCTATTAAATAGATCAGACCCATTCCAGTTTTATCTCTTTCTCTTGAAGGAAAAAAAATAGGATGTGCTCATTATAGATAAACTGGAGATTGAAGGTTAAAGCTCACAAGCTTCTAGAAGCAATCTGTGCATCCTCGGTAAGGAGCCACCAGCACAGAGAGCTGTCCACTTCTGCAGTCACATTAAGAAACTGGGGCTCCTGCAGGCACTGAATCTGATGTACCTGAGAGGTGTTTAAGGCTGCTAGTAAAATGTAAAGGACCAGTTAAGCTGAAATTGTTTGCTGTGTCCCTTGCAGTTCCCCTGCCCAGCTACTGCCAGGGCAAGTGCTGCTTCTAACGTGAGGAAGTGCTGCGGAAAGCAGAGAATATTTAGCTGCCCATTAGCCTCAGGTATTTAAAAAGCTCAGCAGAAAAAAGCTGCAAGCTTGTTCACAATGTGCATCCTTCTCTTAGAGAGCTCAGTTCATATTTGGTTCATCAGCTCAGTTTTTTTTTTTAAAGAGAAGATTTAATAAAAATCTAATTGTAGGAAGAGATCTGCCTCAGCGAGTTTGGTATCATAAAGGGATGCAGGAAAAGGAGAAGAAAAGGTTATTTTGTACTTTTAGCTTCTTGTATCAGAGAGAAGTTGTTCTCCTCCTTCTCCTCCTTCCTCGGGGCTGAGGCCTGGGACACGTCGCGGTGTCGCGTTCTTGAGACGAAGCGAGCGCGCGGGCGCCCCGTTTTGTGCATGATGAGGAGGCTGCGCAGGACAGGCGGCTGCAGAGCTCGGCGGGGAAGCCGTGGTGCAGAGGCAGCCCAGGGGCTGCTCGATGGCCCCTGGCGACTTCAACATGCAGGGGCTTTTTACCCCGGGCGTCTTTGCTCGGAGCACAGAAATAACCCGCGCTCGCTTCTCCGTCGCGAGGCTGCAGGAGGAAGCCAAGCGGGCAGCGCGGGCAGGACGTGTTCTCAGCAGGTTCCCTTTCCTGGAAGGGCCGGGGCTGCGTACGGACTCGCTGCACAGCCTGCTCATGCACTTAGCTGCTTTCCAAGCACCTCCGGCTCCGCTGCGGAGCTCGGTGGGACGGGGCTCAACTCCAGCACCCGGGATGTTCCCAAGGAGCTAGCGGCCGCTTCCCGCTGTTGTTTATCCCTCCGCATCCACGCGCTGGCGCTTCGAGAGCGGCCGGCGCTGCCGCGCGCCCCGGCTCTGCTGGGGCAGCAGCGCTCGAGGCGTCCCCGCGCTCCCCGCCCGCCTTACCCGCAGCTTGTCGGCGGCGCCGAGGCG